CAGTTTCAGCAAACAAAGTTGTGTCATTTGTGTAATGCAGGTTGTTGATGAATCTTCCTCCAATTCTGATGCCACATTCATACACTGCAGGTTCCCTAATGAGCTGTTCCATATATAGATTAAAATGTCTGTAGACAGGCTGCATCCTTGATGTATACCTTTCCTGATTTTGAACCACAACTCATAGGCATTAATTTTTTTCTATTCCTTTATATTCACTGCCTAGCTTTATTATGTTTAGCCAGTAACTGGATCAGTACCTGCACCAGGCGCACCTCAGTCATTAGACTGACTAAGACACATTGTTCTTCAGTATTCTGGATAGATCCCTTAAAGCAGATTTTCCCAACACAATTTATCTTTTTATTTCCTGACTACTGGAAATGCAGCAATTTTCTGAATGCAGTGTTTCATTGCTTTTTTCTGATGGCTGTTTCTTGGTCCAAGTACAGATTTCTCAGATAACAGATGTGGCCCTGGATGTGCTCACCAAGTTGTGCAAAGAAATCTGGAGAACAACCACTTCGCCAACTGACTGGAAGAGATCTATATTTGTTCCCATTCCAAAGAAAGGTGACCCAACTGAGTGTGGAAACTACAGAACAGTGTCATTGATTTCACATGCAAGCAAGATTCTACTGAAGATCATCCAAAAATGATTAGAACAGCACATCAGCAGAGAACTGCCGGAAGTCCAGGCTGGGTTTAGAAGGGGTTGTGGTACTAGGGATATCGTTGCTGATGTTAGATGGATCTTGGCTGAAAGCAGGGAATACCAGAAGAAAGTCTATCTGTGTTTCATTGATTATGTAAAGGCATTTGACTGTGTGGATCATAACAAACTGTGGCTGACTCTGAGAAGAATGGGAATCACAGAACATTTAATTGTGCTAATGCGAAACCTGTACTTGGACCAAGAGGCAGTAGTCAGAACAGAGAAGGTTAACACTGCATGGTTCAAAATTGGCAAGGGTGTACGCCAGGGATGCATCCTGTCTCCATACTTTTTCAACATGTATGCAGAGCAGATTATCCGAGAAGCTGGGCTCTATGAGGAGAATTGTGGCATCAGGATTGGTGGAAGATCTATTAACAATCTGCGTTATGCAGATGACACAACCATGCTTGCTGAAACTGAGGAGGACCTCATGTACTTGCTGTGAAGGGTCAAGGACTGCAGCCTTCAGTATGGACTGAGGCTCAATGTCAAGAAGATAAAGATTCTCACCACTGGACCAATTGGCAGTGTCAGGATGGATGGCGAAGAGACTGAGATTGTTCACAGCTTTAGTTTGCTCGGCTCCACAGTCAACACTCTTGGCACCAGCAGTCAGGAAATCAAAAAGCGTATCGCGATGGGAAAGTCTGCTGTTAGGGACCTCTCTAAAGTACTCAGGAACAACGGTGTCTCTCTGGAGACTAAGGTGCGTCTGATACAGGCCATGGTATTTGCAATCGCTTGTTATTCATCAGAGAGTTGGACAATGACTAGGGAGGACAGGAGGAGAGTGGATGCTTTTGAGCTGTGGTGCTGGAGAAGGGTACTGAATGTACAATGGACTGCCAGGAAAACAATCAGATTTATCTTGGAGAGGATTAAACCAAGCTACTCCTTGGAGGCAAGGATTCTGGGGCTTCATCTGACATACTTTGGACATGTTGCCAGGAGGGATGGGTCCTTGGAGAGGGACATCATGCTTGGGAGGGTGAAGGACAGCGTGGGAGGGGAAGACCCTCTATGAGATGGATTGATTCCGTGACTGCGGTAATCGGGATGGGTGTGTCAGAGGCAGTGCGGTTGGCGCAGAATAGAGCAGGGTTTAGGGCTGTTGTGCATAGGGTCGCTATGAGTCGAAAACGACTCGACGGCACATAACAACAACAACAACAACAACATGTACATATTCTGGGATATGCATTATTCTCAAGGTTAGTCATAATTTGCTGTGATCCACACAGTCAAATGCCAATGAAACACATACAAACATTCCTCTGGTACTCTCTGCTTTTAGCCAAGATATCTCTGACATTGGCTACAATGTTTCTAGTGCCACATCTCTTTCAAACTTAGCTTGCACATCTGGAAGTTCTCTGTTGATTCAGTCATTTTTTAAAAATAATATTCAGTAGTACCTTTTTTGCATGTGATAGTAGTGATATTGTCTGACAATTTCCACTTTTTTTAAATGGTAATAAATATAGATATTTTCTAGTAATGTAGATATCCTCAAGATTTCCTGGCACAACTATGTAAACATGTCCAGGGAAGCATCTGTTTGTTGAGATATTTCAATTGGTATTTTATCAATTGCTGCTTACCAAGGTAAAAGGTAGCACGAAGTTGTAGGCCGCAAGCGGTCAAACCTGAAGCCGCAAGCTTGTAGAGTATGGACATGGTTTCAAGAATACCATCATAGTACAAGTTTATTTACATCACTGGTCAATTGTTCAGCTGAATTTACAGGAGGAAGTGATAATAGTTTAGCTCAGTACAATAACACTTTTGACTATGGGTGTGGCCTTTATAATAATTTACATTTTATAAATTACGTTGACAATGACAATACACAGTGTTCACTAAGAATACAAAGCTGCAGAGAATGTGTTGCACATTATAAAATACAGATGCTACTTAATAAAACAGCAGCTATTTATCTTACAGTGTTGTTGTTAAATGCTGTTGAGTATTATTTATAATAACCCTATGAACAACGGATCTGAACTCTGCCATATCCTGTGCTATTCTCATCATCTCTGAATTCATTGCTATAGCCCCTGTGCCAATATATCTGGTCTCCTTCTCTTTCGCTGACCCTCCACCTTTCCATGCATGACTTCTTTTAATAAGAAATAACCTCTCCTAACAACATGAATGCATCCTGTCCCCCTAATCTTTGCAATCTGTATGCAGACCAGAGCATTCAGGAAGTGGGGCTTTATGAGGAGGAGTGTGGCATCAGGATTGGAGGAAGACTCATTGACAACCTATGATATGCAGATGACACAACCTTGTTTGCTCAAACTATAGAAGATCTGAAGCACTTGTGGCAGAAGGTCAAGGAGTGTAGATTTCAATGTGGATCAAGGCTCAACATCAAGAAGACAAAAGATTCTCACTACTGGGCCAACTGGGAACACCATGATAGATGGAGAAGAGATTGAGGTTGTTAGTAATTACAGCTTGCTTGGGTCCACAATTAACACTCTTGAAATCAGCAGTCAGAAACTCAAAAGACGAATTGCATTGGGAAAATCTGCTGTCATGGACCTCTCCAGAAAAGCAATGATATCAGCCTAGATACAAAGGTGTGCCTAATACAGGCTATGGTTTTTTCAATTACTTGTTATGCTTTGGAGACCTGGACAATAACTAAAAATGACAGAAGAAGAATAGATGCCTTTGAGTTATGGTGCTGGAGAAGAGTCTTGAACATACCACGGATTGCCAAGAAAACAAATAGGTCTGTCTTGGAGAAGGTGAAACCAGGTTTCTCCTTGGAGGCTTGGATTTTGAAGCTCTGCCTCACTTAATTTGGGCATGTGGTCAGGAGAGATTGGTCTTTGGAGAAAGTTATCATGTAGATGGACAGCATGGGAGATGAGGACCTCAAATGGGATGGATTGATGCAGTGGCTGGGACAATAGGGGCGATGGGTTAGAATTAGAGAGACTGGCTCAGGACAGGGAAGGTTTCAGAGCTGCCATAGATAGGGTCACTATACATCATGGGGGACTCAACGGCACATAACAACAATAACATACTATGACAGGTTTGGAAGCTGGAGTGGCATCCACTTCCTAAACAATATGTCTCTGGAAACTCTGTGAACTTTGATAAATGTTGATAGTTGTAGAGGAGCTTCAGGCCTTCTGTTCATAGGGTCACTATGAGTCATGCTTGACTGAAAGGTAATCAATAACAAAAACAACAACAAACAGCATGCTCAAAGTATGTTCACCATCCTTGACTTTAAGGAGTAGTCTGGCTGCACTTCTCCAAGATATATTTATCTGTTCTTTTGGTAGTCCATGGGACACTCAGCACTGTTCTCTAACACCACAACTCAAAGGCATTGATCTTTCCTTTGTTATCTTTATTCATTGTCCAGTTCTCAGATTCATAGTAAACAAATGAAAAGACCACGGCTTGAATCAGGCACACCGTAGTCTTTAAGCCGGCATCATTGCTCTTCAGTACTTTGGAGAGGGCCCTGATGGTAGATTTTCCCAGTGCTATAAGTCTTTTGAGTTCTTCACTGCTGGTAACAATGATTAAATAATTGACAATTCCAATCTTTTCTCCATATCGTCATGATGGCTATTTATCTAGTGGTGAGATTCTTTGGTTTCTTGATATTAAGATATAATCCATATTGTAGGCTGTAGGTTTTTATCTTCTGCAATAACTGTTTCACATCCTCCTCAGTTTCACCAAGCACAGAGCAGAAAACAACAAAACATCCTTGGATAATTGAAACAAAGATAACAATTGGCCATATTAAGTCAGTCTTCACTAGAGACTTTCAGGAAAAGATGATCTTGTCTACAGAATTAACTATGACTGTGTATGACCCAATTGCTGAGGGCAGGACCAGGTCCTCTACCATCAGGCTGACTGCTACCTCAGAAGATGGAAAAGGTGGTTCACTTCTTGGAAGACATTCCCAACTTGTCTGGTTATCTTCTTCCTACTTCCTTCTTATCCCCAGAGCAATCTATCTCTTTTCTGCTAAAAAACAAGACATTCCTGTGTTACCAAATATTAACTGGTTATATTCACTCTTAGTTTTTTAACTTTTAAATAACTAGCATTAGAGGGCATCTCTTTCTCAAGTGAGCCTTTCCATCCATGGAAATGTGATAGTGCCTTGAATTATGGAGAAAAGGTGCAAGGTGTTAATACATTATTGAGTGACATGGGTGACCTGATAATGTAAGTCAGTTAAAACATATTTCATAAGATTCTGGCCTCATGTAACAAGAGTGGAGATAGGACTCACCTGTGGCAAAGACAACGTTTCTTGAGACCAGCCGGTGTTCCACGATGGAGAACTGTGGTAGCTCAATTCTTTCCACTCCAGTGACAGCCTTGTCGCCACCTCTCCAGTAAAATTCAATGTCATCTGTGGTGTATCCATCTACCAGAAGACAGAGAAGCAGGAATATAGGGTACAGTAAACATCATCATTCTGTGTCAATGCAAGTCTAAGGAAACTGTAAGCAGTGAAAAAGAAATAAAGCCCTGCTTTCTTAAATTGAGAAGGACCTGAATCACTTTCTGCAGAAGGTCTTGGACTACAGATTTCAATACCAACTGAAGTGCAACATCAAGAAAACAAAGATTCTTATCACTGGGCCAATTGGCAGCATTATGGTAGATGGTGAAGAGATTGAGATTGCTAAGAGTGTTAGTTTGCTTGGCTCCACAATCAACATTTTTGTTACCAGCAGCCAGGAAGTTAAAAGACGAAATTGCATTGGGAAAGTCTCCTGTCAGACACCTCTAGAAAATACTAAGGTGAACAAAGCTGCAATAAACATGGGTGTGCATATATCCGCTTGGATATCAGCTATGGTCTCTTCAGGGTATTACAGCTATGTTCACAATAGCAAGGAGTTGGAAACAACCTAAGTGCCCATCAACAAACGAATGGCTAGAGAAGCTGTGGTATATTCGCACAATGGAATACTATGCTGCATTAAAAAGCAAGGAACTCATGCAATATTATTCAAAATGGTTGACTCTGGAGAACATTATGCTGAGTGAAATATCTCAGTCACAAAAGGACAAATATTACATGATGCCACTGTTGTAGAATGGGACTGTCCTTGGGGTTGGGGAGAGACTGAGTAAGATGGGTTCAATAATGTATACTGCACTGAAACAGAGGAGGGAGAAAACTGTTTAAAAGAGATATATAACTAGGTATTTCTGTCATCACAGGAGACTAGAGCGAGGGCTACATGGTGGAGGGGACCTGGGGGAGGGTTTGTAAAACAATGAAAGAATCTTTTCTTTTACTTTTCCATAATTTTTGACTCATGTACTTATAACTTGTTAGTCAAATTTGTGTCTTCTAGGTTGCAACACCCCCATGATACATCTTCAAGGATATGAACATGTACGGCCAAGCACAATCAATAAGAGTGCATCTAAATTCCAAAATCAATTCCATAATAGTCTATGTGTTTCCTACTGCCAAAGGGGCCCTTTAGAGCAGTGAGAGAAGATCTTCACCCTGAAACCCACAGCGTCCCTTTTCAGCAGGAAGTAGCTAAGAGAATACGCCACCCCCTTTTCCTTATGACTCAGGGTGAAGTCTCTCTCAGGGAGGAGTGATAGGGAATGGCAAAGGACACACTGACAAAGAAGATTAATCAGAACTGGCTTTGACAAGCACTGTGGCATTTGGACAAGAACAAACTGGGAGGAGGGTAGAGAGAATAGTGCAAGAATGAATGAATGGAAACCCAAAATCTCTGTAAATGTTTATGAAAATTAATAAAATATAATTCTAGAAAAAAAAGAAAATACTAAGGTGTGCCTGATCCAGGCCATAGTCTTTGCAATTACTTGCTATGCATCAGAAAGCTGGACAATAACAAGGGATGATAGAAGGAGAATTGATGCCTTTGTGTTGTGGTGCTGGAGAAGAGTATTGAAATACCATAGACTGTTAGGAGAACAAACAGGTTTGTCTTAGGGTGAGATCAGGCTGTTCCTTGGAGTCAAGGATTTTGAAGTTTTGCCTGCCATACATTGGACATGTGGAAAGGAGGGACCAGTCCATAGAGAGGGACATCATGCATGGGAGGGTGGAGGAACAGTGCAAGAGAGGAAGAGGCTCAATGAGATGGATTGATTCAGTGACTGTCATAAGGGGGTAATTGTGTCAGAGATGATAAGATTGGCATAGGATAGAGCAGAATTTAGGGCTGTTGTACATAGGGTTGCTATGAGTTACAGGTGACTCAATGGCACATAACAACAACAACATATAGGAAGTAGAATTCTCAGTCTATCTTTCTATCATTGAAGGACTAATTTTTAAATGTCAATGTTTACTTCAGTTGCAGTTCATACTGAACTGGTACTAAAAGTTTGATAGGTTAAGAGATATTGTATTTTTTTGCTTAAAAGTTTGACTGATAAAGTCTATTGTAGAGCTTGCCTAGATAATGTGTAGAAATGGACCATCATGAGTCAACTCAAAGCAAAAGGTTTGTGACTGGTGTATTTTGTTTTGTCTTTAAAATAGCAATGAAGAAGTTATTGCAAAGTTAACACATTACCAGTGAACTCAACCCATGAATGTTTGATATCATAAGAAACTCGAAGAGCAAAAGTAAGTTATACTGTCTAATGATTACCTCTGATGCTTTTGACCATGAGGCTTGACAATTTTATATAGGTCTTTTGCTGGAATAATCTTAGCTATCAGTGGTTTGACAAATGATTCTATCCAAAGGAAGAGTACTTCCCAATACAGCTTTTAGTATAGTGTTCAATGTTGATGCAATAATCATTTAGCCAGTGCTTCTTGAGAACAAGTACATAGAACAATAAGGTCTGATGTGCAGACTCTACTTGTATAAGACAAGAGTACTCAACTTTATCCATAGAAGCTATTAAGACACTCAAAACTCACTCATTGCTGCCAAGTAAGAGTCAATTCATAGCTGACACTTCAGCAGATTGTCAGAGCCTGTAAATCATACAAGAGGAGGAGTAGTTGGGCATCTTTCTTCCAAGTAGCCAATAGTACATTAGAAACACCAGGGAGGCATCATCTGTGGGGTAGTATCACAGCTCTATCTCTGTAACATACTCTGATTTGCTCATATAATATAACAATGGGACAGATGTCTGAGTTTTGACACAAGACAAATTAGCTAGGCCTGAAAGATGCCTACTCCCTGTGGCTTCTGCTACTTTCTTGGTTCAATTTTCCATCAGTGAAGGGCTCCTAGGGTCTGACTAGAATTTTCCAGTGCATTAATTTGCATGGATAGACTCACCTTTCAGTATGGCTGCATCAAAAAGGGCACTAGAAAGTAAAAGTTACTTATTTATTTTAATAATAATTAAAATAGATAACCCAACATTTAGTATAAATACTATGAAGACCCTGTTTGACTGAAATGGATTATAAATGAGTTAATGAGTTACTGTTGTTATGTAGTATCAAGTCAGATCTGATTTATTGCTGATCAATCATTATTTTTCAGAGGTTGTAAAGTGTATGGAAGATTGTCCATCTTTCTCCTGAGAATCAGCTGGTGGATTCTAGTTATCTTCCTTTGAGTTGGCAGAACAATTCCTTACCAACTAGGCCACTAGAGCAATCTTGGCCTATGGTAGACTAAGATAAAAGACAACAATAACAAAACAGCATTAGACATGCTTGTAGATGGAACCCAGGGAGCAGATGGAACACTCACTGTTATTAATATAGATGCAGCTCTTATGGCTCACAAAGAAGTACTCCATACTTAATTATCAATAAAGTGTATGAATATTTCTCAAATTCAAGATAACTACTGAAAGTAAAAAATAGCTTGCTTGTAGAAGTGAATCCATGATACTAAATGAGTTTTATTCTGAATGTCAGAGTCTCACAGAGGTAGCACAGTCACTCAGGCATGATGGGACGTATTTTAATAAAACTGCATATCCAAGCTTGCTTTCTCTTCTTTGAAAATCTACAGATGTTGTTGTTAGGTGCTGTCGAGTTGAGTATGACCCACAGCAACCCTACAAACCTTGTCCTATCCTGTGCCATCCTCACACTTCCTGACACATTGCAGCAGTCACTGTGTCAAGTCATCTAGTTGAAAGTTTACCTATCCTTCATCAACCCTCTACCTTTCTGAGCATTGTGTCCCTCTCCAGGGAATAGCCTGTCCTAGCAACATGCCCAAAATATGTGAGGAGAAGCCTTATCACCTTTGCCTCCAAAGACCATTCTGGCTTCACCTTCTCCAAGACATATTTGTTCTTTTGGAAGTCCATGGGATATTCAGTGCTCTTCTTCTCCAATACAACAGCTCAAAGGCATCAATGTCAAAGACTAGTCACTCTGAATTTCTTCTGTCTCAGCAAAGCAAACACACTTTCACAACCACAATAGAATGAAGAATTCTTCTATTCAGAATTCAGAGTCTAAACCTCTTTTTTAAAATGTCAATAAACTTAATGAGGTGGAGAATAAAACCTTGAATGTTTAAGATGGTTAAGAATTATGTCAAGAAAATGTATGGCATGGTAAATAGCTTAAATAAAGACAATAAAGATTACAACACAAATTGACAATAAGGAACCACAAATAAAGATACGCACAGCTTTCAATCTCCAGAGTACAATTCTGCTCATCCAGTGGATACCTCCTTAGATCCATCATGCATGCTGCTGTTGTTGTGATTCTGAAACACACAGAACATGGAAGTAATTAAAGTTGGTGAACAGGGAGCAGGGTGTACGGCTTCTAGATAAACAATACATAAGACCTTTTTTGTCTAAAGTGCACCTTAACGCCTTTTCTTAAAGACATTTTACACAGTTTTTCCAGGATATTACAGATTAATTCTGTCAAGAAAAACAACATAACACCATTAAATCCTAAAAAATTAGTCATGAATTCTTGTTTATTATTGAAATATAAGAAGTTCTTATCTTAATTTTTTTCTCTGCTCATTCTTTAGGGGCTCTCCCTAAGAGTACAGTGAAAATCAATGCATAAAGATAACAATGATTACATTAAAACTTAAGACACTGATTCTCCATATGATGTGCTAAAGTAAAATTAACTGTTACACAGACAATCCATAGTCTTTGAAATTCTAACTCATGTTTCTACTTTTAATTACTTAATGACAGTTATATTCTAAACTAGATTATCACACTCCAGTGTTTTTACATATTATCATTATTTTTAAAAAAGAGTAACTTTTACGTTATTGAGTATGACTCATCAGTTGGTTCGTCAGTTTCTCTTAAGAACAGATGCAGTCATGAAGAGAATGCCTAAAATGTTTCAAAAACAGTTAACACTTTGACATCCAATGGTTAAACTAATGCTACATTGGAAGTTAAGATTTTATATATGTTCTACTCTATCTACTCAGGGAAACTAAATATACCTAAGACCACTCTTTAAAATAGACCAACCAAGCTATCATGTTTAGTACTATGTATCTTTATAATTTTACTTGTTTCCCACCACAGTCATAGCTGAGAGGACTAGATTTCAAATGTAAGACAGCAAATCATCTCTAAACAAGGATCCTGACTGAGAAAGAAATCTTTGTTAATGGAAATGAATTAGACTAAATATATATGTGGAGTTGAGTACACAAGCTCATGAAGGAGAGGCTAATGATGTTATTTTCACACCGGAGAGTAGGTTTGGAAAGTATAACAGTGTTAGGGAAAGTAGAGTTTCATATGGGGCAATTTTATGTTAAGAGAGTAAAATAGTAATTATGCTCTGGGACACAGTGATTAGCCATGAAGAATGGCTACTGCTTATCTCTAGGGAGATACATTCTCAAAGACCCTTTGAAAGTTGGAAAATAACATTCTTGGCTGTGCCCACTTGTTGGTGAATCTTAAGAAGGAAGAAGATGCTTTCTTCAAAGATTCTCCAGAGTTATTATGAATCCTAACCAACTTGCAGATTCTTGAAGTCTTTTCTTGAAGCCCAGAGTTCCATTTTTACTTAATAGCTCTACACATGATTCTTCACAACAAACTTAATATGGCTTCAGGTAGCAGAAGCAAGATCTGTTTCTTACTTTTTTTATTTTTTTGGCTGAGTACAGTGTACTTTATTGATGGTACATGACAAGATGGGCTCGCCAAGCCCCTCCCCTTTCTCAGGGGGATTTGATGGAAACTTGTGTCAAGGATGTGAGATTCTCAGTGTGTGGGAGGATCAAGTTGGGGCAAGGACTCCCCAGCAGCTGAGGGTCTCTCTCTCTCTCTTCTAGTGCTATTGCTGGGGCTGGTGGTCCAAGGGGATCTTATTCTTTGGAGGCCATGTGAACCATCAGGTCGACCACCCGGTTGCTGTAGCCAAATTCATTGTCATACCAGGAAATGAGTTTGACAAAGTGGTCGTTCAGGGCAATGCCAGCCCCAGCATCGAAGGTGGAAGAGTGGGTGTCACTATTAAAGTCGGAGACAACCTGGTATTCAGTGTATCCCAGAATGCCCTTGAGGGGCCCTTCTGATGCCTGCTTTACTACTTTCTTGATGTCATCATCTTTGGCAGATTTCTCTAGACGGCAGGTCAGGTCCACAACTGACACATTGGGGGTGGGGACATGGAAAGCCATGCCGGTAAGTTTCCCATTCAGTTCAGGGATGACCTTGCCCACGACCTTGGCAGCGCCAGTAGATGCAGGGATGATGTTCTGGGCAGCTCCACGGCCATCACACCACAGCTTTCCAGAGGGGCCATCCACAGTCTTCTGGGTGGCAGTGATGGAATGGACTGTGGTCATGAGCCCCTCTACAATGCCGAAGTTGTCATGGATGACCTTGGCCAGGGGAGCCAAGCAGTTGGTGATGTAGGAGGCATTGCTGACAATCTTGAGAGAGTTGTCATACTTTTCATGGTTCACGCCCATCACAAACATGGGGGCATCAGCAGAAGGAGCAGAGATTATTACCCGTTTGGCACCACCCTTCAAGTGAGCCCCAGCCTTCTCCAAGGTTGTGAAGACACCAGTGGACTCCACAACATACTCAGCACCAGCATCACCCCACTTGATGTTAGTGGGATCTCGCTCCTGGAAGATAGTGATAACTTTCCCATTGATGACCAGCTTCCCATTCTCAGCCTTGACAGTGCCGTTGAACTTGCCGTGGGTGGAATCATATTGGAACATATAGACCATGTAGTTGAGGTCAATGAAGGGATCATTGATGGCGACAATATCTACTTTGCCAGAGTGAAAAGCAGCCCTGGTGACCAGGCGCCCAATATGGCCAAATCCGTTTACTCCGACCTTCACCATCGTGTCTCAGGGATGCGGCTGAGGCTGCACAAGAAGAGAGGGCAACCTGGATCGACAAGGAGCAGAGAGCCAAGATCTGTTTCTTATTCACAGCATATCCCAATTAAAACATTTCTTATTCACAGCATATCCCAATTAAAACACCTGTTACATACTATTTCTGTTTACTTTGTCTCCTTTAACCTCAAGTGCAAAGGTGAAGGAAATCTGTGCATCTGACTATACAGCTAGTTTAGGAAAAGTTTTTCAACTTTTCAATGGCTGAAAATGACAATGAGTTTTCTGTGCAAATGTCATGCATATTTAATGCGGGCACACCCTAAAATCAACTTGGTTACTTGCAATTATCTTCTGAGCTGAATATTCACATTGCAACATTTTCACCATGCGATAATCTATCTTTACAATGAGAATAATTAGTTTTTATTGTAATGAGTATGAATAATAATTGCATTGATTAGCTTTGGGGCAAATGCAATAATAAAAAAGAATTCCTATCATGCCTTTAAGAAAGGAATGGGTCCTTTGAAAATGGCATGACTCTTGTTGGGTACATTTGAACAGATTACAAGTTACAGCAACTCTATGAACAACAAATCTAAGTTTTGCCTTATCCTGCATCATCCTCATTATTTCTATAATACTCAAGTCTATTGTGGCAGTCACCATGTCAATCCACTTGGTGAGAATATTCCCTTCTTTCCCTGATCTTCCACCTTTCCCAGCATGATGTCTCTCTCCAAGGATTGGTTTATCCTGTGAATATTCTCAAAATGTGTGAGATGAAGTTTCATCACTCTTCCTACTGAGGAGGATCCTGATTGAATTTACTTCAAGAAAGAATTGTTTGTGTTTTTGGCAGTGCATAGTATGTTCAACACAACAATTCGAAGGCATAGAATATTTTTTGGTTTTCTTAATTCATTGTCCAAATTTCAGACACAGGAAGTAAATGAAAAGGGCATGGCTTTAATCAGCACATTTTAGTCTATGAATGAATGGGAATCCCAAAACATTTAGTAATGCTCACGTGAAGACTATATTATATCCAGATGTTGTTGTTTGAAAAGAGCAAGAGAACATTGTATAGTTTAAAATCAAGAAATCTATGTGTTGTGCTGTATTCTTGCTCCATACATAATCAATTTGCATGCTGAATCAATCAGTTGAGAATCTGGACTTTATGAAGAAGAATGTGGCATCAGGATGGGAGGAAGACTCATTAATAATCTGTGTTATGCAGATTACACAACCTTACTTGCTGAAATTAAGAAGGATTTGAAAGGTTTGCTGCAGAAGATTAAAGACTACAGCCCTTGATACAGATTACATCTCAGCAACAAGAAAACCAAAATCCTCACCAATGAGCCAATAAACAGTATAATGATAGATAGAAAAGAAAAATTGTTAACTTACATGAAGCCACTATTAACATACACAGTAGCAATGATCAAGAAATCAAAAGATGAGAAAGAGAAAGTGTATTTGCCTTGCAGAGGAAGTTGTTCTCTGGATGTTGTGCTAATCAGCACCACCAAGGATAATTCCAAACTTTAGACAATGTGAGCAGAGGCTGGAGGAATCCCCATAAAACTATATGTGAGAACTGAGATGGTGGATGGATAGAGGGCCCTGCTCCCTGGACCTATACCAGACTTCACACAAGACAGAGAAACTGTAGTAGCCTTCTGGGATAAGGTAATCCCTGGTGGCTGTGCTCATCAGCACCACGAAGACAATGAAAACTTTAGAAGAGGTAGGAAGCAGTCAGGGAAGATTCCTACAAGGATACAATGTAGTTCATATAAAAGTTGAAGGACCTTAGAAAAAGAGGATCTTTATCACTGCAGAGGCCCAAAGAGAACTCCTGGCATAGAGATACGCTCTCTCATAAAGGGTAAACTTTAAATCTGCAACTAATAAATAACACCCTAAAGGACTGTTAACAACCTATGTGGACAAAAGAGAAAATGCCCAACACATTACAAGTGAAACTTCACATGATGTCAAGAAAGTAGCAGACAACTTTAAACATTGTGAAAAACAATAAGCTTTCTCTTTAAGAAGCAGAGAATACTACAGACAGAATACCCCAGAGACAGAGAGGCAGAAGAAATAGATTGACACAGAGTCATAGGAACAGCTATGGAAGAAGGTATAAATAATGGAAGAATGAATAGAAGTCATGAATAAAGGCAGTACACCAGAGACAAACAAATTATAATGAAAATACAGCCTGGCTTATCCTTTGGGATATATCCTCTGGGATATAGTACTCATGGGCATTTCATAGGAACAGGCAAACACATTGGAAAAAAAAGAAAGAAACAAACAAAAAATAATGACCTACCTCAACATTCCCATAAAATATAAAAAGAACATTAATATAACCCCATTGTATC